ATCAGTGAATCAACACACACATTTTATAAATTTAATTCCTTAACAAATCAAAGGATCAATTGTGCTCATAGAATACTAATGATGTCTCATCATATTTACTCATCGACTGGCATTTATAATCTCTGATGTTCACCAATAGTTGCCTAAGACACAATTTTAGAGGCCTTGTTTTGCTTCGCAGGAATAGCTAGGAATTAGAAGCACAAGGTCAGCTAGTATGCTATACCTTTTAATAATTCCCAGGGGCTTAGCGCATTCTTCAACATATATATTAAGCATTTACTAATAATTATTTCTGTAATAATATTATTTTTAATATTCATCAATATTAACGTATGCAAAAAAGCATTTACTTAATGAAATAAATGTCTGCTCGCTCCGTGATCCGAGAGTCCTGTGATTTTTTTGCCTATATTACATAAAATAATATTATTATAGCTTATTTACATCGTAAATTCTTAAAATTTTACAAGAGGCCCATGGACCATGTACTGGGCATTATGGAACAGTTTTCCACCATTTGAATTTGGTTCGTGTTTCAAAGCAGACTTTACCAGAGGTCATAAAACTTTATAATTTTGAGAGAGGCACCAGTTTTCATCATAACTATACACTTATCACCTTTACTTTGGTTAGCTTATTTCCATAAGCTGAGTATGGAAACAAAAATATGCATTGCAACTCATCAACACGAATTAATAGCAATAATCAGTAGTGACCCCACCCCGCTGGAACCCCTGATCCTGGGGTCACATATTTCAAAATTTTGGGAAAAGGCAGCCTTACTCATCATAAATGTTTGATCAATACCATGTAGCAGATTCATTTTCAGTATAGCCCCATCCACCCCCCCCCCCCCCACGATTCCCCTGGCCCAGGTGCTCAGATTTTAACAATTCCGGGGACCCTTGTTCGTCATAACTATACAGGTAGTTCATCTGCTTACCCAGAAGCAGAGGAGAAGATATTCAAAGAATTAATGCAATTTCACTAATTAATACAGCCCCGCCCTTACACCAGAGCCCCTGACCCTTGGGCCATGAAATTCACAATTTAGAAGAGGCCCTTGCTCATTTAAACTATGCATGTAGTAAGTTTAATAACCAGGAGCAGAGAAGAAGTTTTCAGCGAAATAATTAACTTTCCCACCCTCGCACTAGAACCCAGACCCTGGGCTAGGAATTTTCTACAATTTGGTAGAGGACTTGATACATAATACAATCATGCCAACAGTTTAACTGCTTCATGTCTAGGAGTAAACAAAAATTGAAGAAGTGGTTTTGGCTCAACCCTTCAGACCCCATGGGGACGGGAACTTGGAACTAGGAAATTTATAATTTTTGTTCCCCTTCACCCATACATGCTACATGCCAAAATTGGTTGATAGTTTTCATAGATGATAATCTTCACATGTTAATGCGCATCACAAGACGGATGCAAACAATTATTATAGTTCACTCAGGTGACCTTATGACACAAATCACAATTTCTCACATTCTCATAGTAATCAACATACTAGTACGTCTTTTGAAGGGCACTTCAAGTGAAGTCGAGGAAACATTTAATTTCAACATTATTTTGTCCACAGTTCACATTGATGATTTGAAGAATGAATTAGCAGAACAATGAATTAACCTTCAACAAATACATTATGAATCAAAATAATGAAAAATATCAACCCCGTGGGCAAAAATCAGTAGAGCCCCACCCTGACCCTGAAGTCACACATTCCAAAATTTTGGAAAAGGCACCCTCGCTCATAATAAATATTTGATTAATACCAAAGAGCAGATTTCAAAGCATTAATTTAATTTCAGTATATTATTAGAGTCCCACCCTAACACCAGAACCTCCTGCTCTATCACTGACCAAGGGGCCTTGACATTCACAATTCTGCAAGAAGAACCATTGCTTATCATAGATATTTAGGTCTAGATAGTCCATCTGCTCAATACACAGGAGCAGAGGGAAAGAATTGCTGCATTTTCACTATATAATTTACATAGCCCCGTCCTTACACCAGAACCCTTGACCCTGAAATTCACAATTTTAGAAGAGGCACCTATCCTCCTTCTAACTAGTATGTATATACTATGTATATAGTTTGTCTGTTAAATACCCAGGAGCCAAAAAGAAAATTCTCAAAGCATTAATGCAATTTCACTATATAAATCAAAGTACTCAGAAGTACTGAAAGCTGGGCTCATTTACAGGGTAATGAACAAAGATGGTGTTGACAGTTTAAAATCAAATTCAGACGTTTAGAGGATATGTTTCACATAAAAATATCTCAATGGCATGTATAGTATTAAAAAGTTTTAAAAATTAAATAAAATATAGCTAGAAATTAACAGCGTAAAATATTTATCACATGTATCGTTTCGGGGTTTTATATACAAACAGAAGTAAATAAACACCGATGCAGCAAGATTAATTAAGGTCAAACGACTATGCACTGATGTGTCCTCAGCGGGGAGTTTTGCATCAAGTCATTAATGATGTTCCCTACATTTGTGTTAGCCCGATAGTACAACCTTTATTTATAGAATATGACGCAGACAGGGATACCTGTGAAAACCTTTCGCACCTTTTGAATTGCTCTGTAAAATATTAGTCAAAGGAGCCAGGAAAAATATTAAACAATCTAATATTTTGATGAAAATATTCGATTTACTATTTCTTAAGGTGTTTGAATGGATTTTGTTTTCTCAACAGCGGCTGAGCGTACGTACTATATTTTTACCCGTAAACTCAATTTGGCGGTGAAGAAGCAGCATTTCCTGTTGCTCACCGTCGCAAGAACCGGGCATTGCTCTACGAGCAATGAGCCCGGCTAAAAATAGAACCCCACTCTAACACCAGATCTAGAACCCCTAACCCTACTCTTGGGGCTATGAAATTCATAATTTTAGAAGAGGCACTTTTCCTCCCCATAATAACTATGAATGAAGTAAGTTTGTTAAATACCCGGGAGCAGAGAGGAAGATTTTCAAAGAATCAATACATTTTCACTATAAACAGTGGGACGGACAACTTCGGAATGGACATTTTTCCGAACTTGCGCACCCTTTTCCTTTAAAGCTAACATCTTAGGTTTTTTTTTAAATGGTGGGGTTTTTATAATCAAATTGATTTATGAAAAAAAAAATTCAACATTTTCTGCTACTTTTTGAGATATTTGAGTTCAAAAAAAAAATCCCATGGGGAAACATGAACTTAAAAATACCCCACAAAAAACCCCACAAAAACCCCATGGGTTTTATTTTTCACCCCATGGGGTTAAATAACCCATATTATTTTTCGTGGGTTTTTTTAACCCACGTCTCACTAAAAATAAAATGTGGGGTTTATTATCCCATAATTTTTTATGTGGGGTAAAAAAACCCACATTATTTCTCTTAATGCTTGTAATCATGGTAAATTATCAAGTAAGAATTATAAAATAAATATTGTTTGGAGTTGTGTACATTTTTTATCAACTTTGTAACAATTTAATTAATTAAATTTTTTTCAAATTCATTGATATAGTATATTATAATACAGTACCTGGCCATAAGTGAGTCATAATTTTATTTTTACACTATATATTTCATTGAAAACCCTATTTTTCTAAAAACTTGTTGTGAAGTCAATTTTTGCTCAATTTTCATGATTTTTTCACTGAAACATGCAGAATTACTCAAATTTTCTTTTCTTAAATGATAAACAAAATGATACTTAAACTATTGAGAGTAAATTATAAAATATTGTCAAGACAAAATTTTCTAACCTCAAATTACTATGATTTCTTAACAAACTGAAGTCTTCAAATTTTTGTTTTGCGCTTGACTTGTGATTTCACGGTAATACATAAAGTTAAAATTATTTTGAAATAATGTGAATAAACTACAACAAATTCTGCATTTTATGGTGTTTTAGACATTCAAAAGAAACAACAAATGACACTGCAATAATATTTCAGAAAAATGTGTTTTTCAATGAAATATATAGTGGAAAAATAAAATTATGACTCACTTATGGCCAAGTACTGTACCTTTTATCACTGCATATGTAAATTAGACATGGCATAAGCATGATAAGAAGGGAAATAAATTATATATTTTTTTTGACTGACCCGTAAGTGAAAAAGTAAACAAATACGGATTAAAAGTTTGAAAGTTTATCTAATATTCCAAGTGGGAGAGAGTTAAAAATAAAAAAGACACTGGAGGCAGTACAGGCAATTTTATCAGAAAAACAATGTAAAAAATAACGTGACTTTGTTTACGCTAGCGTAGCTCACAGGTTATTGTTTTCACTATTTTACTGATAAAACTGCCGACTCCTCAGTCCTGTAACCTGTTGATCGTGAATCACATAGTAATTAATGATACACTTGTTCTACTTACATGTAGTTTAGTTTGAGCTCTGCTGTTTGTAGCATAATGGACTTGATTCAAACAAAGACAAAAACTTTTCTACTATTCAAAGAATGTTTTTGAAATTGATTGAAAGAGACCAAATCAAATCATAACTTGTGATACTTCTTTACTAGTCTGGTCCCCTTCCCACAATTCCGTTCGCGCACTCTCTACATTGAGGTCAGGCATCGGTTGATTCACTGTTAGACGTTGCGCAATTTCAAAATGGAGGACAAAGTAAGTAACCATCTCGAGAAATAATTGCTCATATCTATTTGTTTTACATCATGACAACTTATTTCATCAATGCTTACTGTTAACCAAAGTTGTTTTCTATTTATTTTTTTATTCATTTGATTTATTTTGCGTAAATTTACACTGTTATCACTGGATTAAAAAATGTTTACATTTTAAGAACGTGGAGGTAGTCAAAATTGACCCCCAATATTTCCTTTGTCGTGGACCGACATCAAAATTTTATTGTCTAGTCTAATGTATATATGAATGATCTATGTTAGGATATACAATGTTTTTTATGTCGCTCCTTATTTAATATAGTAAAACTAAAAGCACCCCAGATTTTTTATCATAATTCTATCAACAATTAGCATGTGCTCTGGCCTACTATTGCATATATTTGACATAAAACAAAGGTTTAATGTTTCTATACTGTTTGTATTTTGCTGTCCATGCAATCATTATATAAGTTGAAAAGGGGAAGGGATTAAACCCCCAGTGTATTTATTTTGTTTTATTATGATTCCCCTAGCTGGTCCCTTAATTTCCTTCCACTTTACCCAGCATAATATTTACATGGTAGCGTGAGTCTAACATGTAATTTTCATGAAGGCTTGTGGAAGTGAATCCCACCACTATACAGATGTTTAGCAGTTAGAGGTGGTGCTACTTTGGTAGGTCACCACAATCTATTAATATCCTTGCATACATAATAATTTTTCATACAACTGTAATGCCAACTTGCCAAGGCAATACCAGTCTTCGAAATAACCTGGGTGCCCCATGCCCGGGACCTGGTAAATTTGCCAGCGGGCATGTGAAAATTCTCAAATTACATGCCCAAAGGGCATGTGTAAATTTTCTTTTGATTCAGAAAGTTTACAATTCGATCTTCTGTCATACCCCAGTTATTCGCTTGCTATGTAATCAGTTCAGCTAATCAGCCAACAAAAGACCTGCATTCGAGTCAAAAGTTGTCAACAAAAAGTCAAAAATGCATAAAAAAATGGCAGACAGACAGGCCATGGTTGATTAAAAACTTTGAAAACTACTTATCAAGATCGAGAGAATTTAAAAACAGAAACACTGTCCTTATAGTTGATATAAAAACCTTATTTTTTTTTGCACAATCATATAGATCTGCTATATGAATGAATTTTGAGTAGGGCATGTACAAATTTCAATGGGCTGGGCTGAGATGATCCGTATACATGCCCGAAGGGCATGTTCTGAAAAAGAATTGTTGTGAAGACTGCAATACATTTTGAAAAATGTACCAATCCTTTTTATGTTGTAACAGGTTCATTATAGCTTTCAGATAATCATAAATATCTCTATTTTGTATGTTGGTTTTTTTTTTTAGGCTTTTCCATCGTTCATTGCATAAATTTCATAAAATTTACCAGGATACCGAAAACAAATCCTCTGTATTAAAGACATGATGGTCAGCCAAAAGAGAGCATGGAAGCCCAACAGGAACAATCCCTCTACAGCCCATTTATAAGGTGATACAGTTTGTTTAAATTAATCTTGCACACCTTAAAATGTTTGTCCTTTTCTCCAAGTCATTCCATGGTTGCAATCTTATTTTAAGTACAATTCAATGAACAGACAACAATGATAAAACCGTGAAACAGATTTATCAGTTCAAATGATATGAGCTATGAGGAGAGTAAGTCAAATTAATTATAAATTATTTTACAAATTTACAAAAGGAATAATATGCAAATTAATATGGTGTATATCAGGACTCAAAAAGCAAGTCAAAGTTCATACAGTTAAACTTGTTAAATACAAATATGCAATGATGGATATTGTGAATTCACAGAATACAGAAGTTATCTTGTATTCTCAGCAATATAAATCAAGCAAATTCCTTATATATAATGAATAAAATGGATGTAAGGAATTTTAAAAGGATATAGGATGTAATTTCTGTAAAACCGAGTTTTACTGTATTAGGTAATGCTCTTCGCTTTATGTTCAGTTCACTATATTCTGTTTATAGGTCTGAAGTGTACCAGTGTACCAGTTTCTCTTTGACCTGTGCCAACTCTGGTAACCCTGCCTTTGTCAAGGACACATGTACTTGTCGCTATCCCTAGGGTCTGGATCTCTCTATCGGATGTCCGACTCATTTTGATGGGGGGTATTTAACTTAGTACATATACAATGCTCTGTTTTTCTTTGGCTTTCAATAAGGTGTGGTGTTCTAGATGTTACATATTAAGCATCTGAAATTTACAAAGCTTTCATTCACTGTTGAAATATATATGGGAAAAAATTTGGGAGAATGTCAACGAGTGTAACAAATATTCAATAACAGCATCTCGCACGGCAAAGAGGTACGACTTAGGTCATTTCATCGTCGTCAACAAAAATTTTAAGTTCTGATGTTATTAATTTCTTAACAAATGAGAATCTATTTGCGATTTGGGATACTTTAACTACGTACATGTAGTGTCGAGAATGCCACACTTTTCTGAAAGTCCGGTAATGATAGAAAATTCTACAAAAAATTAAAAAATGTTCTTTTATTTTCAAAAATTCCTTCATTATTTTACATCAAATTGAATCTGCATACTCGGCATAAAAGTTTGGAGTGCCAAAAGACTAGCTCCATCATGACTTTTTTGTGTTATTTCTCCAAGACACGGTCAACTCAGGTCAAGGTCAAATAAGTCCTGACTTCAACCTAGCCAAACGGAGGCAAATGTAACAAATACATGTATATCTTATATAGATTAAAGAATAAGATGAATTAATTTCAGAAAAGCTTTTGGTACCTAATATTTATTTCTTCAGATGGAATGATTTCAACAAAATGGCCGTCTGACACCTTTACTAGATTAAGTACCTGGATACATGTAACTGGCTGTCCCAGAGGGTTTTATGAAGGCAGTTTTACACATCATATTAAAGACACCAGGATGGACCACACAAGTTCCACATTTAATGCTGACATCATTTCAAAGGCCACCTCTACATTTTACAAATTTTGTGCTTAGAAGAAAACGGAAGAAAATAGAATTTCGCCAAGCTGGCCTGCAGGAAAATATTGTATCTACCGCCAAGGAGGTGTTTGTCCCATTGGTAAATAATGCAGAAATAGATTTACCGCTATTTCTAATTTAATTTAATTTTCAAGCAAATGTAAACAAACAATCAAATTAAATCAAAAGCTGTGGATTCAATTTTTTTATTCATAAAATACTTAAAATTTGCTGTCACTGTACCAGAAATATGATCACTATAATTACTTTCGAACATTTATATCTTAGGCTTCAGTGGTGGATATATACAGTATGATGACACCATGAATCCATAGCATTCAGATATTCTCGGCATTCTTCCTGAAGGTGACTTCACGGCTGACAGAGGTTCTATTTCTGTTGTTGCAGTGACTGATCTACATCATCTGGTTATCCTACCCTTAAAGGAGCCGTTTATCTTATTTCCAGACACCTCTGCTTGACAGCAAGTCGCAGGTTCTAATTTTCGCAAGGGTTTTAATTTCATAAAATAATTAAAAAGAAAAAAAAAATGGGGTAAATAAGGCCATGCAAAATTAATTCCTTGGTTCTCAGGCCTTTTTTCAAGAAATATGATGAGGGAGGGAGGCATTTCTTTTACTTTTTATTGCCCCCAAAACATGATGAGGCAGCTTTTTACATTGTACAAAACCTCAAAAAATGATGAGGGAGGTGATGTGATTTGTTGTTTTTATTTTATTGATTTAGCAATAAAAAGGGTCAATGAGGCACCCTTGGAAGAGATGAGGGAGGGCCTGAGAACCAAGAAATTAATTTTTTTTGGCCTAATGACACGTTTTTTTTTTTTTAATATTAGCCTTTTTATCAAGTCTGTTGTTTTAGTTTATAAAAATTGTCTTTGTATTTTAAGGAATGCAAAGTTTTGATGGCAATGCAGAGTCAAGATATTGTGACAAAGACATGCCAGCTTGAAGAAGACCATCCAGTGTTCATGGTGTTCCACTCCATTTTTCAGAATTATGTGTCAGATTGAAATTCATCTCATGGTGCACAAAACAATCAGGATATTCTTCTGGATCTAGTAAGTGTTTGTAAATAGGAATGAAAAAGATTTTACTCTTCCCTTGTATACTTCAGATTGGAACCTGAAAATGAGAAATGACCATGTAAATGCATTTTTTTAAATAGGTAAACAGTTCGTGTTACTTGTACTTGTAATATGATAAGCATGATCTGAATTTTTATTATACCTTGAAATTTTACTTTACATACTGACAGACTTTCTTAAAGTATTTTCATACACTGAAATCTGTACGAGGGGTGTTAGAAAAGTTCGCGGACAAGTTCTATTGTGAGCGCGCTATTTCAACGAAACCGGTCAAACTTTCCAGATGAAATTTTAACCTTTTTTCCAATTAATATACAAAAAATTGGTGCTCTCTGGTGATTATTGAAAAATATGCAACTTTTTTATTTTGATAAAACTTGCTTCACGGAGCATGCTACATTTTTGCAAGTTTACATCACAAAAACTCTTTAATAAAATTAAAAATTGCACAATTGTAGCGCAAAAAGAATTATGATATTTTACCTGTCGCTAAAGCATGCAGGACACGTCACTGGGAGAAATTTTGAACTAAATTGGAGGTTATATGACTGTTTTATAGCCGTTTATAAATGATCAACGCCTAAAAATACAGCCAAAAATCGGAACGTCATTGAGCGTCATGGAGCACTGCACTACGTAAAAATTATGTGTGCAGACAGGAAAATGTCTAAAAAGAGATTAAAATGTTCAAGATGCTGCCGGAAATTTCCTACACATACAAAGAACAAGTTTTCAAATGGTTGTAGCTTCGTAAGAATGGAAGGAGTAACATTTTGAGTGATTAACTCCATCGATACTTCAATATCCCCTTATCGCATGGACGTTGCGTTGCGCTTATATGGTTTTGCATAGTTTCCATACCTGATCGATTAACTGCATAGACTTTTTTTTTATTTCTTAAGATCTCAATATTATCCGAATCAATACAAAAGACATTATAGTAGAAAAGTAACATGTCTTGATATAGATATTCATTTTAAAGTAGAAAAAAAAAAACAAGAAAAATCTGAAGAAATGAAAGATTTATAGAACTGCGACAAAGCGTAACGGGTTGAAATCTGGTTGTCACGTCGCTTACGTCAAGTGATTGCTCCTTGAATCCCATGACCCCAAAGTAAAAATAGTTGTAAAATTTCAAGAATTTATTATATGGACCTGATTTTTTACATACCAATAAACAGAATGTAGGAATTTATTCAAACATAAGTCATACTTCACAGTACACAATAGATTTTCCGTAATTCAATGTGTCCGCGAACTTTTCTAACAACCCTCGTATGTCAGATTAAAATATGTTGAATCAATATTTTTTTTCAGATCCAAAGTATTGGCAGAACCAAAGAATACCTGATAATCTGCAAATGGAGTGATCATTCTGATTGGATGAACCAGGCAACACTGATTATCTCAAGAAATTTTAGGCTAGAGACTCCATCTTCATTCATAAATGATTGATGTTGACATTTTCTCATGGGCTTTTGTTTCATATCTTCTTTTTCATAACATGGACACCATGCAGCATCAGTTATCCTGTAGTGTCAAAGTGTTTTATGTTCAAAGTAATTGATTCTGAGACTTATTTGAAATCTGTTATTAAACAAGCTGTAATAAAATCATGATAGCAATAAGCACAGTATTATTTTACTTTGCATAGCAGAAGTCTTAATTCATGGAAAAATAATGAGGATTTACTTTGTCTATTTTAGACAGGTAGAGCTCTATTTTTCTATTAGCTGCAGAACTGTAGCTCTCTGAAAAAAATATTGGGGGCAAACCTGAGAGCTACAGTGCCACCCATTGAAAAAAAAAACTGTATATATATTGCACACAAGAAATGTTTCCTGATTTATTTCTCCATGTTTTTTAACCGTCATCTCAAAATATTACTAACCATGTGTTCCTAACATATTTTTTCACTGTTTTCACAACAAAACATTCCTTATAATTGATGTTAGTAGCCCTCCTGGACCTGAAATTGAGATCATCAAAAATTTCGTCTATTTATACTACCACTTTGGTTTGCAAAATATTTCGGTCTTGCAATGCTTCATGCAGTTGTAAACTACGAGTGTACTTGATACTAAGAGAAGTAGGGAAGAATTAATACAGAAGCAAGCACAAATTTTATGCACAATAAATATACAGTTCTTTCAGTGGGTGGCACTGTAGCTCTCAGGTCTGTCAAAATATTTTTTTAGAGAGCTACAGTTCTGCAGCTATTCATAATTCTTCTATGGAATCATCATTGTTTGAGGAAGGAGGACTAACATTTTTGGATTGAACATCAAGTGAATCAGCTACATTTTTATTTCCACAAATGCTTATTTGGATATTTTATAAGTCCACAGATTCATTTAATTATTATTTGGTTAACCTTTATAAATCATGTCCTGTCCACAAAACAAAATTATATATTTATGTCTGTCCACAAAAACTGACTCCACAGTCACATCAAAATAATTCCACAGCATTATACAATTTAAAAAAAAAAGATATAAAAATATCTAAGACAAATATAAATGTATGTGTATTAGGGAATCGTCAATAATTAGTAAAATATTTGGAAAAAATTTTCTTGACTAAAAATCTAACTCAAGATTATAACATGAAAAAATTCGTTAGGTGTAACACCTTCAGAAGACAATTTCTGACTGGATACTTTGGATAACATTTTGAGACTGTGAGTGAGAATTGTTGTGATGTGTGTAACAAGCAAAATACAAACAGTATAGAAACATTAAACCTTTGTTTTATGTCAAATATATGCAATAGTAGGCCAGAGCACATGCTAATTGTTGATAGAATTATGATAAAAAATCTGGGGTGCTTTTAGTTTTACTATATTAAATAAGGAGCGACATAAAAAACATTGTATATCCTAACATAGATCATTCATATATACATTAGACTAGACAATAAAATTTTGATGTCGGTCCACGACAAAGGAAATATTGGGGGTCAATTTTGACTACCTCCACGTTCTTAAAATGTAAACATTTTTTAATCCAGTGATAACAGTGTAAATTTACGCAAAATACATCAAATGAATAAAAAAATAAATAGAAAACAACTTTGGTTAACAGTAAGCATTGATGAAATAAGTTGTCATGATGTAAAACAAATAGATATGAGCAATTATTTCTCGAGATGGTTACTTACTTTGTCCTCCATTTTGAAATTGCGCAACGTCTAACAGTGAATCAACCGATGCCTGACCTCAATGTAGAGAGTGCGCGAACGGAATTGTGGGAAGGGGACCAGACTACTTCTTTACTTGATAATTCCTCATTTTGGCACCATTGTCACCCACATCTTTTTCTTTCCCTATGTATAAGTCGTACTCTGAGAAACATATGGGTGACTCTGACAAATAGCGTAAAATTCAAAGACTAAACTGTTAAATTTATCCGGAATTTGTTTTTCCGCTATATTGACAAAAGGTAAGTATATTATACTTATAGATGTTTATGTCCACTGGCCCTGATTTGGGAATAAATCCCATTATATTCCATTCTAAATAATCTGTTAATGTAGTAGCTTCTCAATCCTAAACCAGAAAAATGCTTTCTTTAAAGTAATTAAAAAACCAGTTCGTCTTCTTTCATCTCTTTTTTATGATTTAATTATAAAAGTGTTATATTGCATATAACATGCAAATAGGACCAATTATTACCTGATTATATGTTTGAATGATCATTACATTAATCATGACAAAGTACAGATTTTAAAATTGTTGTAATTTCCTTAAATATTTCAAAAAAAATATATAAACAAATACTTTGATAAAGTTAGAATTACTAAATACAAGAAATTTATTCCAAATTGGCTAAATATCATTGAAAAGTATTTAAAAAAAAGATATGGTCATCTAAAGACAGAGAATTTTTACCAGGTAGTATTTTTATTCAAGGTGAGGGAGGGGCTAATTTTATACAGGTGTGAATACCTTGGAGCTAGCAGTCTACCTGAATGGATACACAGTGGAAT